AAGTATGACAAGTTTCATCCGAAGTTTTTAATAATCGTCCAAGTCCATAATCAACAACACGTATATGACCTTCTGTACAAACAACTGCATGTTCAAGTTTTAAATCTCTAAAAATATTCTAATATAGTATGAAAATAAATTTATTCTTTTTGTAAAAAAAACTAATACCGATAAACAATATTATTTGAATGTAAATATTGTAGAACACATATAATTTCTGCTAAATAAAATCTTATTTCATCCTCATTCATACGTGTTGTTTGAATTTTATGATATAATGTTCCACCTTGAACAAGTTCCATAACAAGAAATAATTTACTCTAAAAGATAATATTTTTTTGGTCTTAAAATTAATAGAAAATCATATTTGACTAACTCCTTGATGAAATGTACAATAAGCTTTAATCATATAAGGATTTCCACGACTATAACGAAATAAGATTTGTTTTTCAACTTCTAATTGTTGTCGAGCTTGATCATTGTTTCCATCCGCAACTTTAACTGCAAGATATTGTTTTGATGAAATATGTTGAACACAATAGACTTGAGCAAAAGCACCATCACCAACTCGACCAATATATTCAAAATCAGCAATTTTTGGTAGAAATATTGTATTATGTTTTTCGAAATCAAATTCTGGCAATGGATCAAGCCAAGATATATCAAAAGATGATGATCTTGAATGAGTTACTTCAATCTCTTGGTCAGAATAATGAATACGCACACCTCTATGAATTAAATCACGTGCATCTGCCATAGCTTCAGCCATTGAATTATATGGAATTGTACACATTGGTGGAACATTTGGTTGACAATGTTCATGAATAATAAAATGACATTCTAAATCAAAAAAATATTTCAATAATCATATTTTGTTAAGTTTAATTCTTATTAGTATAAGCTATTAGTGAAAGCATAGGATTTTAGAAGTTATTTATTGTATATCGTACGTGTACACTTAAGAGCATTTCGAAATATTGCTGAACCACAATGATTACAATGACCATGATTGCGAGTAACTAAAGCTCGAACAAATGGTGCATCATGTTGTTTAAATGTATGTGGAATATGAATATTTATTCGGGAACTACCGTTTAATGAAGGAGGTTCCTTATTATTTCAATAAAAATATTCGTCTATATGTAAAAAAAAAAGTGAAAACTACATACTGGAAATAAAGATCGTCGACACCAAAATGGTATATGTTGATTGCATTTTTTATGAGTTACAAGAAAACATTGTGAACATTCAAAACCTTGATGATGAAGACCCCTAATAAATAAAACAATGATTTTGTAATCGAAGAAGAATATTATTCAAATAAAATACCAAATAAATCCATGACATATAGCACAATGAACTGGATGATTAAATTGTTGTAATTTCATCAAATGTCCTCGGATCGACTGCCGAGAAGATATTTTATCATACTGTCGCTGTTTTATTGCTGATGATACTAATAAGATATTTAAAATTTAATTCTTTTTCATACTATTAAACTTACAATAAGGAACTAAAGTCTTTGAATCTCGAAGTAACTGAACAGTAAATTCAAATTGATAATCTCGACGAATCATTGCCTAAATAAATTGAACAATAATATTTTTGTCTAATTAAAAAAAGTATATTTTACAGTGCAAAGTAATTCAGTATGAGATTCTTTATTATGTTTAGGATCAGTAACATATTCAAATAAATAATTGAACCATAAAATAATATCAGCAATAGCTTTTGACCTCGATTTTGATGTTAAAAAGACAACTTGACAATAATTTCCATCATCGATACGCCAATCAAATGTTTCATTGACAGAACAAACATATGTTTCAGCTGTATCGGATGGTGCCAGTATCATTGTTGAATCTGTACATAAAAAATGAATTGGTTCTTTAATAAGACATTTATTCGTAAACAGTATCTTACCAGTATTTGATGGTAAATTTGTCAATTTTTTAATATAGCAAAGTATGTTATTTATATTTTGTTTCGCAGAATCTTTAAATGAGATAATTCGTATTCGTAATACATTATTTTCCATCTGAAATATATACACATATAATTAAACTTAATCTAGATTTTTTTGACTAGAATAAACAAAGAAAAAACAAGAGATATTAGTAACAAAATATTTTCTTTCTCATTCCATATCATATGATTCTTTTAACATCCATTGTCTTGTTGATAATTGTTCATAATAATGTCCAGCTATTTCATAAAGCCAATTTTGTTCAATAACTGTTATGTCAGACATAAACATTTTTGATGATTGAATTAATTCATTAAATAAAATCATTTTAGGTAATTGACTTTGTGTTTGTTCTTGTGCTTGTAATATAGGTGATAAAATACATGACGGATGCATATAAAGTTCTTGAGATGAACCACGAAATGTTCGATAAGTATAACCATCAATTGCAAGACGTGCTGCATTCATAAAAAATGCATCTGTTAAACATTTAAGAACTGGTATAACATCATCACCAGATGATGAGGAAATTTTATGATGTTTTGGTACTAAACGACGAAGTGATTTCTCTAATGAATCTTTTATTTCAAGAATACGTTTTAATGATTTTACATTTAACATATGCCTAAAAACATATATAGAATTTTCTAATAAAACGAGCGTTTATTAAACATACTTATCACAAAATTGTTGTGGCATCATTTGTTTTTCAAATGCTTTAATAACATTAAGTGCTGTAATAAGATCACCTTCTTGACAAGCAAATTTTGCATGTAATTTTGTTGCACGCATTTTTTCACTTGGTGGATGAAGAAAAACATTTTTAACTTGAAGTGATGCAACTATTTTTAAAATTTCCTGTGTACAACCATATTCCAGTGAAAGAATTAATGCACGTGCATGTGTTGGATGTAATGGTAATTCAGCCATTTTCATACCTAAATCTGTTGTTAAACGAGATTGTTCATCAATAGCACGTAATGCATATAAACATTCAATAGCTTGAAGAAGATTTTTTGATGGTGGTGGTGAAGGAAAATCAAAACGAACAATATTATGTATGCCTAAAGCTTTTATTTGAAGAACAGCTAATGCTAAATCACATCGTTGCATTTCAGGTAATTGAAATTCTTTCATTTTTTCATATTCAGATATTGGATAAAGACGATACGCTTTTCCTGAACGAACACGACCAGCACGTCCAGCACGTTGTAATGCTGATGAATGTGTTATTGGTAATGTTGTTAATACTTCAAAACCAAATTCTGGATTAAATAATTTTAATCGAACATAACCACAATCAATAACATAAACAATACCGGGAATTGTTATACTTGTTTCTGCAATATTTGTTGCAACAATTATTTTTCGTGTATTTGGTGGTGTCTTTTCAAAAACTTTCATTTGATCAATAAATTTTAAATTGGCATATAATGGTAAAATGATTAATTTTTTTCTTTCATCTTTACGTTTTAAATGTTGTTGTTCATCAGTTAAACGTCGTGCATATTCATGTAATTCACGTGTTATTTGTAAAACATCATCTTGTCCTGATATAAAACATAAAATATCACCTTGTTCATTATATTTCTCATTTTCATGTATTTGTATACATGCATCAGCACAAGCTTTACGATAATCAGGTACAGGTTCACTTGTATGAAAAATTTCAACAGGATATGAACGACCTTCAACACTCATTATAAAACATTCATTCAATTGTTCTTCGTCTTCTTTTTCTGCAGATTGATTCTCATTTTTAACTATTGAACTTGGTTGATTTTCAAAAAATGCACGTAATCGTTCACTATCAATTGTAGCAGAAGTTATAATTAATCGTAAATCTCGTCGACGTCGTTGTATTTTTTTTAATAAACCTAATAAAAGATCAGTTTGTATTGATCGTTCATGTGCTTCATCAATAATCACAACATTATAACGTGTTAATAATGGATCATACATAAGTTCACGTAATAATAATCCTTCAGTAAGAATTATTAATTGTGTTAAACCACTTGAATAAACATCTTCAAAACGTATTCGATAACCAACTTCTTTTCCTAATAAAACATCTCTTTCATCGGCAATACGTTGTGCTAATTGAACAGTTGCTATACGACGAGGTTCTGTCATGCATACTAATTTGCCATTACGTGTCCAACCACCTTCAAGAAGATATTGAGGAATTTGAGTTGATTTTCCACTACCTAATTTTTCAAAATGATAATTTTTATAGACAGAAAAAAATAAGAAAGTTTTTGTTGACGTACCAGTCTGTCCAATGATGATTAAAGTTCGATATTTTTCAAGTAAATATAAAATATGTGTACGATAATTAGCAATAGGTAAATGACGACGATGTTGAGTAATAGACATACTTGAATGTTGATAGAGATCAACATTTTCTGATGTTGCATCATGTCGATCTACTATGGACGATGATTGTTGTCGAGGTGGACGAGCACCTCCTGGCTTCCAATATTTATTAGCAGAATTATTTGAGGAATTTTGTGACGGAGGTTGCATTATCTGAAATAATGTTTTATGAAAAGATTTAAGTGAAGATTCGCTGAAAATCAAAATCACTTTTTCTGTTCCTATTTCTATTTTGGTTTAATCATCGTCATTTCATTTACTTATGATTAAATTACGAATGGTTTAGGATACTGAACCGATCGTAGCAGATACATGTAGAGGGCGTTGGTTTAACTTCATCACTATTTCAAGTAAGAAAAGAACAGAATTGAAATTTTACTTTTTGCTTTCATCTTATTCATCCGTTATTATTCTGTAATACAAACGATTTTCAAGCCTTTAATATTCAAGAATGTAGGTTTTAACAATAGTAAGAGTAAATATAATATTAGTATATTATCTTTTTTGTTCTCTTATCTTTCTAAATAGATATCAAGAAACAATAACAATGCAACACTACTTTTATTTTTCATTGTTTGTAAAAATAGGTGAGAAACAGGTAAGCAAAACATATTATTTTATTTCAGTTGTGTTATTTATATTTAAGTGTTCATTTGTCATGTCTAAAGCAGAAAAATCATCATCAAAAAATAACAAAGACTACACTAAAAACGTAACAGTAGAAAATTCAAGCACTGTAAATATGTCGATTCTAGTCATTTGTTCAACTTTCTATGTATATTATTGTTTGTAGTGGTCGACTAAACATTTCAAAGACGTATGTAAACTGTCTTTTTATTTCAATTTGATTTCTGTTAATATTACTTTTCATATTAATTCAGACGACGTTACAAAAAGTCAATGGGTTTGGCACTGTTTCAGAAAACGTTTCTGTTACGTCAAATGCAATTGCTCCTGCTGCTGTAACAAATATTAACCAACAAAACCATCGTACTTATAGACAATCTGAATGTTATATGGACTCCATCGATAAACTAACCAAAGAATTTGAGTAAGAAATTAGATTCAGATTTTATTTCTTTTTGTATTTATTATCATGATCCAATAGCAGAACAACTTTAAGTGAAAGACATCAGGATAGATTAATCAAATGCCATTGAAAACATATAACGAATTACATACTTTTTATTGAAATGTTACATAGAATATCTAAATATTGAAGAGTCATTTTATTGTTTATGAGAGTTCCAAGAAAATTTAAATTGTACTTACATGTATATGTATTGTAGACAAACTCAATATGTTTCATCACCTATAAATCGAAAACCATCTAATAATATTCAAGGAAATACGGAAGTGTCAAAAGCAGCCAATTCAAATCAAAAGAGCCTGTTGGATGACTATGATGAGGTTACTTATGCTGAAACAGTTAGTAGTATATTAGTATTATTAATTGAAATCATATTACATTCCATCTTTTACTCGATCTTTTATATTAGAATGGTGCAACTTGGACTGTATCTGCAAATGCATATGATGACTATGTATTATTGTTTTTCTTTGATCTATTTTTCTTTGACTATGATTATTCTTTTAGGAAACGGATGATTTCTCTGCAATACCAAACACTCAAAAAATAGAAGGTAGTTTAGTTTTATATTAGTTTAAAAGCCTTATTTTTTATGAATTTTAAATGTTTGTTATTAGACAAACCTAATATGAAAAATACAAATTCAACGAACCAACGAAATCAATCGAATCGACGAAATGAAAAGAACTTGACAGAAAATAAAACAATCATCAATCAAGACATGGCAGCTTCTAAGCGTATTTTTAATGTCGCATTGGTAGGTATCTAGATGTGAGAAAGTGAAAAGAAGCTTTCTTGCTCAAAGTTATCTTAGAAATAAGCATAATATTTCTCATTACAGAAATCCATGTTTCAAAATACACATCTAAATCAACGACAAGTCGTACACTCCATATCACCTGTTAAAAATCAAAGGAAGGATGGATTTTACGATTGGTTATGTTCATCAACTGAACAATCATTATGGTCAAATGATATATATAGAAAAGCTCTATTACAGTATATTGGTAGAATTTACGATCAGAGGGCTCATATGTATCAACTTTTCGCTGAAATACAAAAAGACAATAATAAAGTCGACGAACTCGATATTCTATACAAATTAATTGAGAAAACAAAGCAAAGACATGGTGTGTATTAGATCAAGAGAAAGAAATGATCTAGTTTTATCAGTTTATCTCTAGATGCTCAGATGTCACTTAATAAATGGGAAGATAGTTCTCGAATCGATCGTCGTCTTACAGATCTAAAACTTATCTTTGAATTCAATAGTAAATGTACATCATCATCATGTCATCCATTTATTGTATCACCACCTAACTTACAACATACTATAAATCGAGATAAAATCAGATCGTATTTCGATTTAGGATGTGGTGATGGAAGCATCACAGCTGCAATTGGAGCTTATTTAGGTTTAAATAAAGAACATATTTTTGGAAGTGATATATACGAAGGACAAAGCAAAGACATTACATTTATTAAAGTGGATGAAAGTCAATCAACAATTAATCTTCGTTAGTAAACATCGTTTTCTTTTCATTTATTCTCTTATCGAAATTCTATTATCTATTTAGCTGATAATAGTATCGATCTTATAACTTCTTTCGTTACATTTCATCACATATCTCAGATTGAGAAAACAATTACTGAATTGTTTCGTATTCTTCGATCGGGTGGTTATCTTATTTTACGCGAACATAATTGCAAAAATGATCGATCACTTGCAGCTAAGTATCTTAATTTTGTACATGCTATCATGATGATCGCACGAGTTGGAGAATTTGCTACTTCTCTGAATGATCTTCATAATGAAAATCAACAAGTATTGAATAGAGACTACAATAATATTATAGATGATTGGATGGAACAAAAGTCACATATTATTGAATATATAAAAACAATTTCTTACCGATCATGTGATGAATTGCGAGAGAAACTTGAAAATACTGGTTTTCATCTTCTTGCCACATTCTTTTATGGTGCATCTGGATCTAATCCACAAAACCTATTTTATGCTGTTTACCAACTGAATGATAAACGTAAAATGTATGGTGAATAGAAAAAGAAGTACTTCTATTGATTCTTCTTTTTTTTTTTGCCTAATTTATATTCTTGAGATTGATTTATGATTATAATAATGTGATATTGCTAAGTAATGATTTTTCTTTTTTAATAAAGTATGATATTAAACATAGTATTAATATAACTAGTATATTATTGCGTCGAATGTGTATCTTTCTATATATGTGAAACGAAATAATTACAATATAAATTTAAAAAATGATTAAATATCTAAAAATATATTTATCTGCACAGAAAACAATCGTGATTCTTCACACTAGGTAATCCCAAATATTATTTTCGGTAGTTTGTTAAAGTTACACTTAATGTGTACCACTATAATGGCTGATGTTATTTAAAATCAATTAGATCAAAGAGTTCATGATAGATTTATTTTGAAAATAAATTTGATTGTAGCATAAATTGTAGTTTTTCTTAACAAGTTGAACTTTATTTATTTCATTGTTTATATCGATTAAAGAACACTATTCACTGATGCTAGGTTAACATATGCCATGCTTAATATATTTCAAAGAGTGAATCAATCATCGATAGACTATGAGTATCAAGTTCAGTGTATAAATAATCGTAGAATAATCAACCTTTGCACGATAAAAAACTCGTCCGAAACCTTCCAAGAGTTTATGCCTAGCACATATACCTTAAGGGTGTGGGTTAACTGTCCTCATTCTCGAATACTTATCCGCACCCACACCCTCAACAACTGTAAGTCCTATAAAGGATTAGAGTTTCCTTATAGTGAATCTATTCATTTCTCATCCACACCCACACCCACCCTCAAGATGTTCTAAACTAAGGAATAAACGACTGTTTATTTATTTTATAGAAAAAACATGATAATGCGGATAAACAAAAGTGAAAAGATCGATTCGATTAAATGGAAATGAATTACATTACCGATGGAATACAGAAATATGTAGGAAGGCAATCAAGGAATTAAGCGCTAAAAGTGATAAAAACAGCAAACAACTGTAGAATTAATTAGTAGTTCGGCGAAAACAGAGATACTGCGTTTGCTAAATATTATGGATTAGATATAATTTGTAAAAGATTAATTAATTCTCTTTCAAATTCCAGGTCAATATTTAAACTGTCCAATTCTCGAGGAGCGTATTGTCCTAATGGCAGTTCTACATAGACACCATTAAAATTACTGCCAATTGCTAATGTAAATATCTTTCCATTATCATCCAAATGGACAGAGCAAACAATAATTAACATCCAGTTTTTTTTCTTCTGCTGGTAGGATAATAAATCATGATTTTTACGTTCAGTCATGTTCTGCTGATATTCCGACCAGTGACAATGCCCATCATACCATGAACATGACGAATGTTGCGCAATGAACTTCGCCTTGGCCGATTCATATGCAAGTGAAATGTTATGGAATTTAAATTCAATTGGAAAAAGATTGGAAACCGCTGTCGCTGATTCGAATGAAACCAAACGTTTTGTAGCATCACTCAACTGTTGATCAAATGGCATAGTTTTTGGGTGAAGGAGATGAAGAATTGATTCCAAACGATATTGCAGTTGCTCAATCGTCCACTGATACTCCGCATTTTCAAAGCCTTTATCAAATGTTGACATAAGATAATTAGTTAGTTGTTTTTTAAATTCTGGTAACAAGTTTTTCACGATGCCTGAAATAAAAAAATACTCTTGCAATATAATCATAGACGAGATTTATCTTTAACATGAATTTGATTTCAAATTAGTGACGTGCGATAGTCTGAACTACTGCGGGTTCACATACCTGATAGGTTTGCTGCTTCCTCGATTTTGTTGATAATTCGGCTTCTTGCTTTGTCAGTTTGATGCGGAGCCAAATTGTCTTTGTCACGAATTTTAAGTCCTGGTTCAATATTAGTTATTAACCAGAATAATATTGCACAAATGCTCGAAGCATCAATTGTTGGACTACGACGAACATCCAATAGGACATGCTTTTCTTTTGGTGTCAACTGCTTGGTTGATGCGGAGTTCAGTTGTGGAACACGAAAAAAACGATTACCTATAGTATGGCCCAAACATGTGTTCATGCTGTCTTCGTTTTCTTCAAATGAGGATAAATCAACATCGTCTTCACGATTTTCGATGTATGCTAATCCAAAATCGATAACATAAATTTCAGCTGTTTCAATTGGTGTATTCCGATCGTAACTAACTAGCAGGTTAATCGGCTTTATATCACGATGTATAACACCTCTAGCGTGGACATTTTTAACAGTTAAAAGCAGTTTCCGAGTTAGCTTAATGGCATTGAGTAAATCCACTTCTCCAAGTTCATGCGCAAAGTCCTCTAAAGTGCGTCCATCGATAAAATTCATAATTATCCAATACAGACTCTTTCCATTTACGGCATCTTTCTCACTATCTGGTATGTTTGTATGATCACTTGAATAAGATGTTAGTTGACTAATGTTTTTTATACCTAAATCGAATACACCAGTTATCTGTAGGTTTTAAACACGAAGGACTTTTACCTTGCAATCTCTTTAGAGCGGTTAATTCACGATGAGCACGCATTCGTCGCTCTTTATAATAAGCATTTAGTCCTTCATTGTCCTTTTTTACTTTAGCTGCGATTGAATATATCTTTATTGCCCCCAGTTGTTCTAAATTATTTTTGTAGTATACTATACGTACTTCACCTTGACCACCTGCTTCTCCTGATTGCATATTTTTGGAGGTCCAGTCTTGTGGAACATCATCTGGTAAATCAGGATTTGCTTAAAAACGAGTCCAAGTTTAGTAGTTTATTTTTTCAGAATATGTACGTTCAATCTCCTTACCTTGTTCTTTAACGTCTTTGACAGCCAGTTCAAGTATTCGGCTTGGATTATCAATTGATCTGTCGTTCACAACAGTGATTGTACTTGAACTTTGGCTCGAATAACCCGTATCACTGGATGATAGTTTTACTGTTTCGTAAAATACTTCTGTAGAATGTCGTGAATCGATGTATGATCCAGCAGATTTCGTGTTTACGAGTGCGGGTTCACTTTTGTGATGCTGTGGTGCGGCAAATGATTGTAAGTCTATTTGATAAAAATACATGATTAAATAGTATTATAATTGTTTATCTGTTTATAAACTAGTGGAACAATTGTACTATACAAGCAATATATTCATAGAGTAAAGGAGTTCTTTAGTTATATGATTTTTTTTCGTAATGAAAGAAGTTTATGGAAAAGACACAACTAAATAATCTAAATTCAGACGCAGGGAGTTTAATTTAACTCAAATAGTTTGAAATAGCTTTGTACAAACAACCAAACTAAAGAGTAAAAGTTTTATAAATAAATAAATTTGTGCGACATTATATACACTTAATCTCTTTTGAGATTGTCAGAGTTTGAAGTATTAATCAATCTTTTAAGCAAATTCATAGAGTTCTGTGAGCCGTCTCGTTTGAGAAACAAATATAGTCTATACGGTAATACCAATTTCGTTTACATGATGAACTCTTAATCCCTCGTATGTGTCTAGTTTCCATCGTAACTGTTCGCCGTTTTATTCAAACGTTTCATCTGACATCAAATCTGAGTTACACCTAAAAAGTATCTGAATCTGTTATTCACTAGTTTCACTCTGTGCAATACTGAATGATTTTTGGCTAGTAGTCATGGGATTAGAACTGAAACTTCCACGCAACAAATCGAAAACTTACCAGTTGCCGATGACATTGGTGAACATTCATCAATAGGAGTTGTAGTTCGGCCTAAATACTTCTCTACAATGTATGAAATATTATTAAACATATGAGGATTATCCAAGATCGCTTTATCCACAGAATCATAACTAAAATTATAACCGACAATTTCAAAAATAAGATTCTTTTGATGGTATTGAAAACCTTACTTATCATAAGTAATTTTTATATCATTTTCTATTGTTTCAATATTGAGAATTGTACCATACTCTGCAAAATGACGTTTTAATTCACTCTCTGGTATACTATGTGGTGCTTTCGCTCCAAAAGATAATGCACGTATGTCTCTATATGCTCGAATTTTTTTGAAATTGGGTATTCCCCGTAATTCTCGATAGACATAAATAGTATGACCATTCAGCATATGTGGATAGTTTTCCTTTTTCATTAGATTATCGACTGATGTCAATTCTTGATACTGGGCAACGGCATGTGGTGCTGAGTGTTTTTCTACAAAAAAGAATAAAAGGATCGTTTTTAAAACAGGATCTTTGGGCAAGAAAGCTCAACAGAGATTGAAACCTCAAATTTTTATTTATGTTACTCATTAGGGTATGATGTAATTATGAGTAAAAAATTAAATCTTACGATTCTAAAAACTATTTGAGGAATGTATAGTGATACGAAACTTTTTTTGGTGTCATTAAATTGTACATGAAAACTTCCCCGTTGACAGATGGAAAGAAAAAAAAACAAAACTCGAAAGAGTTGGATATTGTTTCTAGTTTGTTCCATATTATAACTCTACAGACTCAGTATATGGTTAACTTAGATGAAAGAGCGAAATAATCCAATGTTCGTATTGAAATAGTTCGCCGTGATAGTCAGTAGGTAAGAAAGCATTGACAGTCTATACATTTATTTGACTTCGTATACAAGGCATACTATAATATTGATACGACGTTACAAATAAATAAGATTTTGTTACATGAATTTCTGATATTTTTCTTCGGTTTTTTTGATGGCACGTCTATACAGCGGTTTTGAAAGGATATGTTTTGAGCTTATGGGTCTATATCAGGTACAAAAGAAATTCAGATTTATAAGAAATCAGAAATAACTAATAAACGAATCAGGAACCCATCTAGAGGGATTGCGAGCTGAAAAATAGCTTTTCACTGCGGTGGCTCCCTCCCATCTCGAAACAAAAACTTCTGAAGATGTCCTTTTCTACGGACTGGTATATATTCCTACCTTTATTTATGTTACAGACTTTTAATATTCCAAACTTTGATAAGTAGTCTTGTAAATCTTTTGTTTGATCATTGTCAGTTAGATCTTCTATAAAAAATCTTCCTTTGAAGCCTACCGATTCGCCAGAGATCTGTGATTTATTTATCTTAGATGTTGTCTCCATTGCAGCGTACGAGTTACAATAAAAGTGCTACAAACAATAAATCTGAAAACAGATGATAAGAAGTTTAAGTGTTGTCGGCCGCACAGATAACAAGTGTGTTGATTCAAGCACGGACAGACTAAAACTACATAATAAAGCGAGAGTGATCCTAGTAGAAGACGTATGCTAACTTCAGAGTTCCACTATCTGTAATACTCGATAGAGACTCTAGAATGTTAGTGCATTGCCAATTGTATGAACAGTAAAATACTTTACCTATATGCTACATATGCATATACTCACCCACACCCCTGATGTGGTACATTTGATTTGTTGAAAAAAACAGAATGCATCGATTTGTTCGCAACAAATTTTCTGAACGTTACAATAGAAGAAAAAGTCTCAATGTCCCTCGTTTTTAGCAATTTCATTCGCCAGGGAGACGACTGAATAATTCTTATTTTTTTGTATTCTTTGAAAGTCTGATTGTGAGTGTCGCTTATATCATCATCGTCGTCTGAGAGAAAAAAATATCGCGTCATTCTTTTTTTATCAATTCTTTGCTTTACGAAACCAACTAATTCTATTTCTTTCCTTCGTATATCGTGTCGATATAGGAGCAGACGAACATCTAACGTCTTTTTCTTCTACATTCATTTTTACTACGTACACAACACATTATTTTTTCTTTCTTTCTTTCTTTTTTTTAATACACCGAGTGAAAAAGCTATTAATACTAGTGATATAACAGACATCTTACAAAGCACTACTAAAAAACAAGCATATCGTTGTATATGACGAAAGAAGATGCAGACGATAACATAAAAACATTCTATCGAGGGTGTGCATGTGAATGTGGGCGCGAATGCGGTTTGGTGGATAGGTGTGAGTATGGGTAGAGTGTAGATGTGGGTGAGGATAGGTGTGAAATCACTTTTTCTTTACTGACACCCACACGCATCCACCATCACCCATACCAACATCCACACCCACACCCACGCCCTCAAGATTCTACTCAGATACCCTTATCCAAACTATTACACGCACAGCACACTCACGCACAACAATTGTTGAAGCTGTTGCTTTGTTCTTAATTTAGAGGAAGATAATTTAGAAATAGATATTTAGGGTTGTACAATATTAGATGTAGTTTACAGAAAAACTTGTTCTACAGTTTTTTATTTTAAATAAACCAAAAGTTGATTAAAAAATGTTTTGAAATGATAATGAAAAAGAAGTGTAGTTGCGTGTCTCATCAATTTTGTATCCGATAAGAAATTTCTTTTTGGATTGTTCAAAGGCGTTCTTAACATTGTCCAAATTGGCTATAAACGGTTGTTTAACATTATTTGCATCATTATTCATTTCTCGTATTAATTCTTCCATAAAATAATGAAGAGCTCTTGGTGTTGGGATCTTTTCGATGATTTTAGCAATTTCTTTGTTCGAATAATTCATCAGTGTCTTGAAATCTGGAATGCGTTGACAACGAGGAGAAGTAGATATTTTGTTCAGTTGTTGAAGAATGTAGTCAGCGTAGTTTATTAATGAATTAGTGTTCCAACTGTTCTGATATACTGGAAATTTATCTTTCCTAATAATTATATCTGATAGCTGGACTCCATTCACATCTATATAAAATAACGATAAGTCGAATGTATTCGCCATAATCATTGAAAGAACCTCCTGAGAGACTGAAGATTGATAGAATATATTTAATAGATGTATATTCACTTCATTGTCACCAAAAAAATACTTGTTTTCATCAATTCCGTCAATAATAAATACTACCTTTTTGTTCACATATTTCTTCATAAATGTAGAAAATTTAACCAAATCTGGAAGTACGTTATCATGCATTTGTTTCTTTTTAGTACTGGCTTGATAATGTTCACCTTCAACAATTCCTAATAATAAATGAAGCTTGCGATTTTGATTCAAGTCAAAAACTTTAAAATTTTGAATATCATTTTTGAATTGAGTAAGGAGCGGCTTGTCTTCATAACGACTGTTCTCTCGTATTTGTGTGTTTGTTGTGGTTGCTTTGTACAATTTTGATCGAAACATGCCATCTGTCCTTCCAAGTAAGAAATTTACCATTTTTTCAAGCTCTTCTGTTGAGTCTCCGTTATAATAATAACATGCAATAAAGATCAGATCCATTTTTTCGTCAGTTGTCATTCCCATGATATTAATTTTATTGGTGTCTAACTGCTTAAGAAATTGTGTGCCCAGAACAGAAAGTAATGTTTGTGCAAAGTCTTTTTTTTCCCATTTTTCTAAACCATTTTGAGATTCGTTATTCTTTGCATTTGTCTTCACAAATCTTTCTATGTATCCAGAAAGATGTACATTGAATAATGACACTATAAAACACTGATTATTCAAAGTCATACTATATGCACATCTTAACATAGATTTCCCTGTCCCATAGGGTGATAATATTACGAAAGAACTTGAGGAACCATCTGGTTTTAATACTGATTGTGGTAATGTTGGTTTGTAAAGAAACCGAGTGTCACATATATCTGCAGTCGATGTCATAAAATGATTTTGTGCATCGGTAAGACCGAAATACTTGTTGAAGTTCCTATTTTCAGAGTTTGTCATATCGCAAGTTCTTAAATTAATACACCAATTACAAAAGGAATTGGTAATGGTAATAACGAAGACCGAGCATATAATCATCCCATACAGAAATATTTTTCCTTGACTACTTTCGCCATTTTTTGAATCAGACTTCGTGGCATCTGATGATGCGGACGACTGATTGGGTTCATTTTTAGCGAGATACTGTTCGTCCGTTGTTGTCGCCATGTTGTTTTATATTTAATGTAGTCGTCTAATTTAAATGTTGGAAGTATAATTACGGGTTGAATGTTGTTATAATATTATCGTAGCTTGTAGAAGAAAACGTAAGTATTTACAGGACAAGAGTGGTTACTTCTTTGATTATTGCCATCTCTTGTAATACAACATATTATGGAAAAAACCTTAAGTGATATCCTTTTGTTTATCACTTGGAAATAACATATTTCAATACAAATCAAAAAAACAGAAGAAGAACGACTTCAAACAACGAAAAGGAAAATTCCATGTGATCATATATGAAGGAAAAGAGAAGAATACCATATATATATATATATGAAGGAATAGCGAACGAATATTCTATATGTTCGCTTACAAAGATACAACCAGATTCGTCTCCTTATTTATATTGTCTCTTCCTTTTTTTGACACTCTGTTTCGCCGGTTATTACAAAATGATTGTTTTTATTACTTAAGAGCTTGTTATATGCTCTGTAATTTATTAAGTGCCACGCCTCTTTTTGCTTTGAATAATTCGCTTTCTATTTATTTTCTGTGTTTTATGTTTCCTCCGATTTTCATCATCATATGTCTTTTTTCTCTTCTATTTTTTTGCCTCTAATGTTTTTACTTATCTTTAGTTTCATGGTTTTCTTCCCTTATTCTTATGTTCCAAAACCAACATTTGGTTTCTTCACTATCATATAATTCTTTATAGAGAACACGAATATTTCAGTCTTTCACTTACTTAACATTATCTCTGTCGTTTTTTTTCTTTGGGAGTGATGTTAACAACACCATCAATAGATATATTTGTACCTAAACTAAAACTATATTGATAATAAGTTTAAAACCATGGTAATGTGCAATTGCAGTATATGTCAAATGAATTTGATTTATTTTTATAATAAATATCATTTCGATAGATTTCATATCGTTCAATAAGGTCGATAGATGCCGACCAACTCTTGAAGGTGTGGGTGGGTGTAGATGTAAAGTGATCCAATAATTATGCCCATATCTATATCTCAAAATGGTCTGATTATTTCAACAACTTGAAATCAGGAACATAATTATTCGTTATGCAATTGATCATGTCTTATGCATCTTGAAAGTGTGAGCGAGAGTTCTCTAACTATCTTTTATACATACCCATACAAGCATCAATATCTTCCATTAAATCAATAAAATAATTGTCTAATTATTCATGCTCACTGTCAAGATTACATTAGTATGTACAATTA